TCGCCCCGTCCTCGCTCTCGCCTCTTGCCAGGAGACCCGCCCTGTCCTCAGTCTCGCTCCGTCCTCAGTCTCGCCCCGTCCTCGCTCTCGCCTCTCGCCCCGTCCTCAGTCTCGCCCCGTCCTCAGTCTCGCCTCTCGCCGGCGAGACCCGCCCCGTCCTCAGTCTCGCCCTGTCCTCAGTCTCGCCTCTCGCCGGCGAGACCCGCCCTGTCCTCAGTCTCGCCCCGTCCTCGCTCTCGCCTCTCGCAAGCGAGACCCGCTCACATGCCCTCCTCTCCCCTGCAGGAGCCGACCTGGAGGCCACCGACCACGGGCGGCGGCTGACCCCCCGGGAATGGGCGCTCTTCACGGCGCGGTACGAGACGGCCCTGGCGATGACGCAGCTGCTGGCCCGGCCCTGCGCGGAGCAGTTCTGCGACTCCTACCGGCCCGAGTGGCCGCAGCTGAAGGAGCTGGTGGCGAAGGCCGGCGAGCCCAAGGGCTGCTTGCAGAAGCTCTCGGAAACGCTCTGCTCGGTCTTCAGCTTCGGGTTACCCGGCGAGCCGGAGGAGGAGGGGGTGATGGACCACATGGTGCGAATGACGACCAGCCTGGGCAGCCCCTTCGTGGCCCTGGGCTGCCAGACGGTGTGCCCAGGGAGCCCCCCCTGCGTGGGCAAGCGGCGCACCGCGGTGCAGGAGATCCTGCGGAGGCAGCGCGTGGAGCAGCTGAAGAACCTGGGCCCTGAGCGGCTCAACAACTACAAGAAGCTCTTCCAGAACTCGCGGGTCACGCTCGTGTCCAGAAAGAAAGACAGGCGGGCCAGCCTGCAGCCCCAGAGCCTGCCGGCCGGCTCGGCGTCCGCTCTGGCCGCCCGGCGCGGCAGCCTGCTCCCCCTGCACCTGCTGAGGCGGAGCAGCGTGCGGCCGGGCGTCGTGGTGCCCAAGGTGCGGCTGACCAAGGCGCCCCCGCCCACGTACCAGCCCGAGCGGGCGCGCCGCAAGAGCAGCGCCAAGGACAGCCAGTTCCTGCAGCTTCCCAAGTGGAGGTACAAGGAGCTGAAAGAGGAGCGGAAGAAGGCAGAAGAGGAGGAGAGGAGGAGAGCTGAAGAGGCCACCCGGAAACGCCTGGCGTCGGCGAAGAAGAAGGCCTGACCTCCACGGCCTTCGGGTGTCACTGTCACTCTCGCTTCACTACTTGAGACGCTTTGTATTTATTTTTGTATTTATTGCTTTTAAAGAGAAGGGATGCTTTATATTTTCTGGGGGAAGACAATCAATCTGATTCACACACGGCCATCAAACTAGCAAGGAGTTCCGATGGGCTTCCCCGTGATGAAACACGTTGTCTACACAGCACTCCAGTTGTGAGACTTCCCTCCTACTACCTGTACACCCCAGGTACTCAACCCCTTTTTGAGGTTACAAAACGACTTTCTTGACCATGATGAGACGAGCTGATTAAGATCCAGTAATCGCAGATGATGACTGCCAGTCTTGTGCTTTTTTCCGTGAGGACGGAGAAGACAAATGGGATTAAAACAGTCAGCCAAAGACAGAAAATAGAGGCCAGACAATCCCAATCTCGCTGATTAAAGGTCTTATAGTCCCATCCAGGCAAGGCTAAAAATAGATCCTGGATTTAAACACTTGATGTTAGTGACAGCTGAACTTAGCAATAATTTTACAACAATAATTGCTCATAAATCCTAGGTTTAAAGCGCATTTTATACAACAGCTGAGTAAAAACAAATTGCAATGATTTGAGATCTAAAAAATTCTATGATTGGATGTAATTTATACTGCAACAGCTCACCAGGAGATTCTTTAGAAGAGAAGAGTTACATGCTCACATATATACATACACACACATCAGTGTTCTGTTTGAAATATCTTTATGCCACAGCAATGGCAACAACGAGGACGGTGCTGAAAGTTTTTTCTCATGTGACTCGTTGAGTTTTTAAAGTGCAACAAGTAGAAATGTACTTCACTTCCTGAGTAGCTACTGAGTAGAAATACACTTAACCATGGAAGATGTTTGCGGGTGTTGCACAATTATCCATATACATTCTTTAAATATGTAAAATCTCATTACTGTACATCTATGAATACCAGCTCAGGATTGTGCACTACAGAAACTTGTTCTGAGTAAAGGTCTAAATTTCATGTACTAAACACGAACGCAGCTGTGGAGAGCAAAGTCAGATCTCTGTGGTCCCACAGCGCATCAGCAACGCTATGGATACCCAGCACCAGCCTGGCCAGAGCCGCGCTGTGCTCACTGGAAATGACATTGTGATTCCCCTCAGCACTCCCAGGACAGGCCTGGTCTCTCCGTGAGCACGGACAGCAGCTCACAGCGTACAGTATGTCAGACACGTACTCCATTAACTCAGCACTGGCAACATGTCGACTGCTAAAAACAGTAAATGTATACAAAAACACGTATGCTTTGAGGAGTCAGAGTTCATGTTCATGTTTTAAAAATTGTCATCTGCTCACAAGCTGACACTAGCACATACTGAGAAATGGCAGGACATGGTTTTCCGTATCTTTTTTTTCCCCAGAATTCACAGAGAATTTTAAAGCTAATTTTTAGGTTGCTGGGCTGGTTGCAGGTTCCACTGGCAGCTGCTTCAATTCAACACAAATTCCCCTTGTGCGGAGTCTGAAAATACAGACTCTTTCTTTTAAGGGGGGGTGTTTTAACATAGATGCACTTGAATCATAAAATAAGCTCATACTAAAAACTGTTAGGTGAGTAAACCTCCGCCAAAATTTGATTAGCCTGGCTGTCAAGAGGAATCTCGGAAGCAACAACATTTCCCTGATCCCACTTTTTCATTTAAGTTTGAGATGTTTAAATGAAGAGGCCGGATCGTATACAGATATCGTGAGCCTCACAGGAGGGTTTTAACCGTTGACTCTGAAATCTGCAATACGCCTTCTTTGACTGACTGCAGGTGGAATCTTAACGGTAAAAGCAAACTATCCCCAGACATTTTCATGCTTTCAGTTCCGATAGCTGATGGTGCACCAAGTATAATATGCACTTACTGGAAGGGATGGCTTTTTTTTATATCGCTGCTGTTCTGAAATAATGTGAATTTGATAGATATATTAAAAACCAACAGGTTTTCTCCCAAGTGATGTGTGTTGTTTTTTTTTCATGTGATGAGAAGAAGAAAAAAAGAGAGCTTTTTACTGGCTAATCCCACCCAGGGCTGTAAAATGTTCCAAGTTCCAATCTTGATCCAACACCTGGCTCCAGTGAGACTTGTATATACCGAACCTCGAGAGCAAGAAAAGCGTAATGCCGCAGGGGGAAGTAGAAAAAAACAACATTTCGGCCATTAAGCATTCCTCCAAAGAAGGAGTCTTTAAATTAAGGTCCTGAGGTCCTGGGTCAGATCCCAAGGCACTTTGTGCAAGAACTGGGATGTTCACCCAGCTGGAACAGTCCGGCCTCCCTGAAGCTGCTTCTGAAACCAGCCGGTGGGGCAGCAGCCTCCCGCTCTTCCAGCAGACCTGTGATGGCGGAGCAAGCTGACCTGCGGCCCCACCTGGGCAGGAGATGACCAGTGGCGGCCGGGCCCAGCTTATCGCCGAGAAGGCGGTGCGGCCCGGAGCAACATGCCCATGCATGTCCCCAGCTCGAAAACCTCTGGACCCTTTGGGAGGAAAAGAGCTCAACAACTGCAAGCAATTACAAAGCTATTTATGGACATTTAATCGGAATATGGATGTCTTAGTAATGATGAATGTGAAGGCTTTACGCCAAAGGGACATGGATATTGAAGCTTTTCCAACTATGTCCTTTGAAAAGTAGTTAACGCCAGTTTGATTATAAATACCTCATGAGGGCTACGGAAAAAAAACATGTCAAGACGGCAACATAAAATTAAAGCCAGAATTTATTTCAATTGATCCTAGTCTTTGTCACTTTGTGACAAAAATAATTCATACATTTGACATCACTTCAGAAATATTTTTGAAGTAAAACGTTGTAATTCAACAAACCCAACATTCCCATGGTGATTTTCAAAAGCCCCTGGAAGAATATAAATGCCCAGCTGACGCTGCCCTGAAAGTGAATGATCTGAATTGATCTTTTGGTCACGAGAACATTGCCCAAAGTCCCATCCAGCGTGTGGAGCCCTGCATCACCTTCACATCTGACACCTTCATCTCTGGAGGCCTGTGTGTGCGAGAGATTCAGCTGTGGCGAGTGGGTGTATGTGCGTGAGTGTGAGATCCAGCTGTGGTGAGTGTGCGAGAGAGAGATCCAGCTGTGGTGAGTGGGTGTGTGCGTGAGATATCCAGCTGTGGCGAGTGGGGGGTGTGTGTATGAGAGAGAGAGATCCAGCTGTGGCGGGTGGATGTGTGTGTGAGAGATCCAGCTGTGGCGAGTGGGTGTGTGTGTGAGAGATCCAGCTGTGGCGAGTGGGTGTGTGTGAGAGAGATCCAGCTGTGGTGTGTGTGTGTGTGAGAGAGATCCAGCTGTGGCGAGTGGGTGTGTTTGTGACAGTTTGTGTGTGGAGGCAGTGGGCAGTGTGTTTGGGAGAGATGTGCCGGAGGCGTGGCGAGTGTGAGTGAGACTGATCCGGCTGGGGCGGGGCACAGGCAGGATCCCTGTGGGACGAGGGCTGGGGGCGTGGCGCTGGCGGACAGCTCACTTGCGTGGCTGGTGGATGTGCTGGTTGATGTGATGACTCGGGGGGAGCTTCTCCACAGACGGCTGGGGCTTCTGATGGGCCACCTGGGCAGCCGCAGGAGGAAAGTCCTTGTCACCCTGAGAAACACCAGGAGGGGTTACTACCAGCAGGGCAACACTTCACAGGCCTCGAGGGTATTACTCCCCCTCAAAAAACTACCAGCCTCAGGCATGCACTGAAACGATCAATATTCGGCAATCGTGTCCTTTGTTTCTCATGAAGCTTGTGCTTGACGAGGACGGTTATTTTTAACGTCTGCGACTGGTGGACCTCAGCCGTCGGGCTCGGGCGGCGTCACAAACGCAGGGAGTGCATTCTGAAGTGAAGGGCGCATGAGGGTTAAGTCTTGCAGCCACAGTCTTCACTCTTCCCTTGGGTTCAGGCAGAACTAACAGAGGCCAACCAAAACGAGATTATCCGCAGCCTAATTAACACCACCAGATACTGAGTAGCAATCACGTAAGAAGGCACTGATTAATCTAATACAAAGCCCCTGAAACACCCAAGGCAGCACCACTGCAGCTGAAGGGCTCCGTGAAGAGCAATCACGCAAGACTGGCCTGTTTTGATTTTTCAGGAGCCAAAGTAATACCGGCGGTTGTTGCACTTGATCAAATACGACAGCAACCGAATTAAGACCTGAAGCGGCACAGTGTTTAAAAAGAAAGGTTTTCGCAGAAAAAGGTTATTCAGGATGAAAACAAAATTCATTTTTAAATGACAGACTAATTTATGAAGCTGCTGTGCATGGCTAATGCTCTGTGGCTTGCCTGTGCCCCCCTGAGGTGACTCTCGTGTGTTTTCACATTCATTTTAAAATGATTAACGGGACATTAGCAGGACATCGCAGACCTGCTCCACAAACGGCACTTGTTGCTTCACGTCCAGACTGGGACAACGGAGGAATTATGCAAAGGATTTGGATGACTCCCGACTGCTCTATTTAACCACTTCAATATTGCATTTAGTTTCAATCATATAAAAATAATTACAATTAAGGTATTAAGCCACATTTGTGGTGATGAAAATATTCTATAGAGATGTATTAAAAATAACAACTATATTTATACCTCTAGACTCCATTGTCATTGAACGCAGCAGTGAGAACAGATTAAGGTCAACCCTGGCTAGAAAGCAGGACACCAGTGTTAAAAGAGGAGCATTTTCACTCCGAGAACTATTGGAAAGAGGAACATCTGGGTGCAGGAAGACAGGAATGATACCCAGTTTCATTCAGTCCTGCTCACTTCTGGTCCGTTTCAACAATTCATAATAACGTTAATGACTTAAGTCAATGTGTTTCTTTCCCGGACACTCTTAACGAACTGTGAGGTTCTGCAGAGATTCTACATTTCCTACACAAATGTAAATATAAATATGTTTAAACTTAAAACAGTCACAAATTAAAATACAAATACAAAAGTTTAGTATATTAAACTTCCCTCTTCCCTCAACACTTTTTTTGTTTTCTAAAACTGGATTTTTCTAGTATTTCGATCTGGACTGGAGAAAAGAAACGAAATGCATTACCTTTGCCACTGCTCCTGAGATGATCAGGGTTGGCTTCGGTGGACTGGAGGTGAAAGCAAAAGGAAAAGAGATCAATAGACTGGCAGCCATAACAGCACAGAAGAGATCAATACACTGGCAGCCACGATCGCAATATTGTAACAGCAGAAAAGAGATCAATACACTGGCAGCCATCATCTCAATACCACAACAGCATGCAAGGAACCTCAGTAACAACCTCCAACACAATCTCATTCACTGAAAGCACTGATTCACTGTCTTTACAACAGCCCTGCTAGAACAGTAGACAAAAACACGAATCCTTTTTTATCATCAGACACTAAAGAAATGGACAGTAACCTGTTATCTAACTGCCTGCTTGTAAACAGGAATCAGCAGCCATGAGTCTTCCCTGTATCCCAATCCAGTGAAAATTATTCATTGTTTCTGGATTTGGGGTGTTTATACGAGTCTACAGTATATTGTCTAAAGTCTACAGTCAAACACTAGCATTCCCATATTTCTTGAAGGTAAAGTGTTATCACTCCTCACTGATGTGTTTTCAAACATTCTTATTAGTGCAGCAAGAAGATATTTTCCAATGGCTTCACGTGGTCTGAGTGTCACTCATGGATGACTTGAAGAAGAGATTATTTTTTTAATCCCATTAATATTCCAACCTTTTCTTCTTGTTTTGATCAAAAACAAAACACATTTTGCAGGACTGTGCTGTACCCAGTACCAATCTTTAGATACTAGTGCAGACTTGCAATGCTATCAGAGGATCTGTCAGAACAACAAAAAAACTATCCTTTCCCTATAAGCACTGTGAGCTGTACCACACTGGAGGAGGTGTGAAACCGTTGCCTAGAGACGAATAGGACTGCGGAAATTCTTCTGGATGCTCATCACGTGAGAAGCAGAAATCAGAGCGACAGTGACTCAGTGTCTCAAAGCCACCTCAGCATTAATCTCCCAAGAGCGGAGGCTTAGCAGAGAAAAAGAAGAAATAACTCATCCCTGCACTGCTATGCCACGTGGTGCGCATTTCTGAATTTCCACCGGCAGCAAAGCCATGCGCTGTGCACTCAGGACACACAGCTCATTCCATCAGACACACATCCCAGCATCCTTTTAACATGCCAGCTGAGCATGACGAGACCCAAGTAAAAAGGTTTGGTGCAAGAACAGGGAATGTCAACGACCCCAGAAGAACTGCTGAAGATGCTGTTGCTCGCGAGAGGTTTTGGACAACTTCCCAGGGAACTGTTTAGTAATGAATAGCGAGGCATATCCAGGGCTCAATAAACACTCCTGCCCCTAGACACCTCCTCCAATAAGTGTCAAACCCCAAGAGCACTCGACTGACGGTGCAGAAACAAAGAAACACAGTTCACTTCAGCAGGTTCTGTATCACAGTCCTTGCCCGAGCTCCACAGCCTTCTCCACAGCACAAAATGTCAGTGTTCTGTAAACAACACGGAACAACGATGACACCAACAACAAGAGACATCACTTACTATTGTCAAGGACTTGTATATGTGTGCTGTACATTTTAAGAATGGAATCATCTCGCACTCAAAATCACTTTTCGTGGCTGGGCTGTGCAAAGGCTGTAGTTGTAATTGTAACTACCGATGAAGAAGCGTAGCACGAGCACTAATGCCATTGGATGCAAGCCCAGACGTTAAAATGGGCGCTTTGGAAGAATGCAGGAACCACAGTAAAAGTATATAATCCCTATACAAATCACTACTTCATCACTTCAACACACATTTTAGGAAACATCTATCTCAGGGACCAGGACGTAATAAACTGTGGAAGAATAACGTTCTGAAACCCTGCAAGGCCACCCAGTCAGACTGCTCAGTATTGACATCAGGTAGGCAGCTGAATGCCATCTCTCAATTCCAGCCATTGCTCTTCCGTATTCAGTTATGACTAAATCGCTGCTCATTTTATTACAGTTGTCAGGGGGAGACCAATTAGCATCTGTTCTTTCAATGCAAATAGCCTGATATCGACTTTGCATGGCAATGACCCTGAGGGCCAGGCAGCTTAACTTCAGTACATTCAGTTTAGCATTTTACTGTCAGACTTAGTGAGCAAAAGATATCCCTCAGATTGCTTCACTACTATTTTTCTTTTGTTAAAAAGGACAAATTAAAGCACTCCTGATTTTCTTCAACAAATGAAACGAAGTAGATGGAAGGTATGGTTTTGGAGGCTGAAATGCTAAAAGCTGAAAAGGTCACTGTTGAGCTGACGAAGGGATGTGTCTTCACCCAAGGAAACTGGTGGGTAAGACCGAGGTGCAGAACTAGTGCTACAGTTCAAATTCTAGTATTTAGTAACAGTTAGAAAGTTCTATCTGCTGCATCAAAGTCTCAAACATTTTAAGAACAATAAAGGCAGAAGCTATTTACTGCAAAGCAGAAGCTACCAAAGACCGAGGCTCCTAAATGCCACTTCAAAGCCATCGTTTGGATGGAGCAGGGGAGACACACACACGTTAGGGGAAGGGAGTGGACAACTGTGAATCACCAACGGGTCACCTGCCGGGCACAAGGAGATGATTTCCAGCAACGGTATGGAAGACCCACGTGTGATTCCTAAAGATGGGACTCCAGTGGCTCTAACCCGAGAAGACAGCCTTTACTCCGGGAGAAGAGAACAACAGCGCAGGGAAATCACAAGTGTCATCTGTCTTGTTAAATCATTCATCACTTGGCAGCTCTGGAGCACAGGCGAAATGCCCTCATTATGGGAATGTTTAATTAAACTACTTCAATGACAACAACAGCATTTGCAACATACGGACAAAAAGTTGTCCTGTACGCAAGGCCTGATGGGATTTGTAAACCTGCCTGGGATGGAAAATAGATTTTTTCACCTTAACTAAGCACAGCAGGTTGACTTAAATCCTGCTCCACACAGCATGTTGAGCTAATAAGCCAATAAGCTTCACACAGCAGGCCTGTTGAACCCAAATTAAAATCCATCTTCTGACTGAGGGAAGCTAATTAAAATAGTAACGTTTTTTTAAACAATGTTTTTGCTTATGTTTGCTGGAGATTGGGTCACTTTACTAAATTAAAATGAGATTATCAACAATGAAAGCATAAAATATCTGCAGGGGCAACAGTTCTGTTACACATTTCTGAAGCTTTCCTGCAGATTTATTGTAGTAATTTCTACAAATGGGAAAAACGTCACTTGGTTTCGATAGCTGGAAGAAACTCTGGGAATAAAAAGGCTTCCCTCCATCTGAAAGACAATGTTTAAATACAGATAAAGGTCAGGCACACGAGAACAGGCCTCTGGCGCTATTCTGGACAGGGTGGAGACTGACGGCAGAGCAAGAAGAAACTTCACACAGTGCAGAGGACGAAAAGTCACTCTAGAAGCAACCTTGAATTACAAGAACCTCAAGATCCCTTCTCTAGAAGCCAGAATATCAAACACAAAGAGAGCACTGAGCAGTTCGTTCAGCCTGCCTCATCACCAAGAACTACTGCCTCCTGCACCAGATGATGCTGATGCGATACAAGGTTTGCTTTTCCTCTATTGATACCCTTCATCAGCAAGTGACTCATGTCGCCAGGGAAACCGCTGATCCAGCAGGAACCTGCGTCTTCCTCCTTCGCAAACATCCGTTCCCTCAAGCCAGCGAGGATTCAGGGCAGCGGTGCCCAGCTGGACAGGTGGGATCAGCAGCTCTGCGCAATAGAAACAACATCTGATCTTGATTAGTTCCCACCTTTTCGTAGTTCTGAGTGTTATGACGCCCAAGCCTGGGATAAAACATAACCCAAATCAAACCTGCACTCCAAAAACAACGCAAGCATGTCACCAGACTTTGCCTCGCTGACATCATGTTCACAGCTGATCTGTCGCTCAGAGTCCATCTATCTCAGGTGTAGGGGAACTCCTCTGCCCTGTAAAGCCACAGACCTGTAATCGACAGTCATGATCTAAAGATCTAAAAAAGCCTGGTTTTCATCTGGAACACAATTCCAGAGTCTTGTCTGAAAACAGCCACCTCAACGATTCTCTGAGGCCTGGCAGACTCATTAGGAAGTGTGCAGTGTGCAGTCTGCAGCGCCACGGCCCCAGCTGTCCGACAGCAGGGCCCCAGGGGCCCTGGACCCACACACAAGCCACCCACACTGGGCCGGGCCTCAGTCCACTGTGCCGGGCCTCAGTCCACTGTGCAGCACCCTAGGGAGTCCCAGCACCTGCTGTCCTTACATCTGGACTAGAGGGCTCGGCTGTGCTCTTAATAAAAAAACACCTTTTTATTTAATTCTCTTTGAGTCTGGTCTTTCCTCTTTTTTTGAGAACAATTTCTTCATTGGAGGGGTGGCTCTGTGGCTCAGGATCTGCACCTGTGGCTGGAAGATTGCTGGTTCAAATCCCGCAGCTGGCAGAGGAATCCTACTCCATGGGGCCCCTGAGCAAGGCCCTTCACCTCAACTGCTCCAGGGGCGCCGTATAAATGGCTGACCCTGCGCTCTGACCCCCAGCTTTCACTCCCTGTCTGTGTGTTTGTGTCTCATGGAGAGCAAGCTGGGGTTTGCAAAAAGACGAATTCCTAATGCAAGAAATTGTATAGGGCTAATAAAGTGATCTTATCTCTATCTTCATAATAAAGTAAGCATTTTCCATATTTACCATCAGTTACAGGGACTGCATCTTTGTGAGAGTTCTTTCCATTGAAATGCAGGTGATTTTTTATTATCTTTTTTAGGCAATTTTAAAGTTCGGGGATTTTTTTATATCACAGCTCTAGATAGTTACAGGGGCCGGACAAGTTGTGCAGGGCTGTTCAATCTGTCTGTGTCTCTGACTGTCGCTTCAACAAACCAGTCAGAGTTTGGTCACATCATGAGTGCTTCAGGGGCACACCGAGATATCAGAGACTGTTTCTTCTGTTCTTAAGTAGAGGGAGTTGTTACAGTTTAAATCAGTTCATCCCAACCTTGCCATGGGGACAGTTTAATAAAACATACAACCTTTTATTTTAAATGCAGGTTATAACGTGGAGAAGCATTTGTGTTCACC